TTTTTTTTGGCAAGGTTAACACGTGCCAGCTAGAGGCTGGAAGAGTACTCAACCAGAGAGGAAATTTTAAAGCATATGTTTTGGTGGAATTCAAAAATAGCTTTGAAGATATTTGTCTCCCCATAGAAGTGGTGCTGTGGGGAAAAAGTAGATGCTAGTCAATCTTACGCGTTTAAAGATTAAACGGTCAACCCTAACTGTCTTTGTATTGTTTTTATCCTGAAAGCAGCAACAACTTTCCGAAAGACACAGCCGCACAGACCATCCTGAAGGCAATCTCAAACTATTTTGTGTCCGTTATGGCATCATCTCTGAAACAGATCTATTTTGTTTTGAATGACATGGAATCTATTGGAATTTACACCATGGAACTAGCACGTCTTGACTCCTAGGAAAGGCTAACACTTCCTGTCTTATCTTTTTAAAATATTCTGTTGATCAAGTACAAACTGCGTCATCGACGTCTTGGACGCATGTCCCGTGCAGAATTTAGTTGTTCAAAGGTTTTCTTACATAGTTTTCCACTCCTTAAGATCGAAATGTTGATTCTCCTAACTGGTTTCTATACACTTCATTCTGTTTTAGTTTTGAGAAGTGAGAACTAGATCACGATGAAGCTTTGAGGTGTATCATTTCCAATGTCGTCATTACTTGTCCTTCTTAATATCGTTGTACTGTCCCAAAGATTTTGGTAGTTGACGTGTAAAATGGCATCTGAAAGTAACAGTTCCGTTGGCCTGCCTAAAAGGACGGATGCCAAGAACAATTGTTTCCTTTATATTCGATAAATCATCTCCCACTTCAGAGCAATATTTATTGTATGGAAACTTTAAAGTAGAGTTAACATTTGATAAAGTCATCACGGCTGGGTTACATATACAACTTGCAAACAAGCACATTTAACTTGCGTAAGGAATCAAAATGGTTTATTAGTGCCTTTAGCCTAGCTTTTGGCTCCAATAAATCACAGGTAGCCTTCCTCCACATTTGCAGACCATGTAGAACAGTCTTTCAGTGGGGGCAAATTTGACAAGATCCGTATGATTCAAGGACGCTATGTATCCTCCACGTGTAAACCTTCTTGACTAGGATTTCTTACATACTCCAAACATATGAGTTCCTGTAGCTATAGCACTGTAGCTATCTTTTAGGGAGGGAAAGAAGATTTCAACCCTCTCTTCGCCCCTCTCCTTAGTTTGTTGCGGAGTTGCAAAGTCAAACAGGAGGGAAATTAGGCATTAGTTCAAGTTCAGTTGAAGTTAGCATTCCATGATTGTTTGTTTCCTTATTCGTGGATGTTCCAATGTTGCTTGATCTTAATCATTCTTCTCCAATTTGGTGTGTCGTGATGACTATGTTAACTCTGAAGCTACCACGATCTACCAGTAGTTCTTGTTTCCGCTTACCTCGCATTTCCTCATGATTCAGTGAAGAGAAATTGGTGTTATGTCACCTAACGTTTTCCAGCTGATAAAGTTGTCGATTCTTCTTACCTGTATGGTGGATAATGTATCAAAATTGCCGAGAGAAATTACTTGTTAATCGCGCGTGGGAGTTGAAGAGTTAACCAAGAAGGACAAAGAAATCAGGGGGGGAAGAGAATGACTAAGACCAAGGGACTGTGAACCGTCCAAAAATCAGGCTAGTCCATGTAAAGTTAAGACGAGAACCCCTCCCCTGAGAGTCAGTTGGGTAGTTTAAGAAACGACGGCGGCGACGCTGTGGACAACGTCGTTTAAGAAATGAACTTGTATTTTACCTACGAATCGTGTTAGACCGTCAAGACTATCTCAAAACTGAATATGGAACGCAGTGTTAAATTAGAAATAGAAATTTAAAAAATTAGCTGTCGTCGTTCACGTTCTCCAGACAAGGCAAAGTTTGGTCATTTCACGTTATTGTTTTGCAGAGGACTTACGAAATTTAGAGACATTTCTGACGCACGTGCATAGCTTGAAGTTGCCGTCGTGATTTCTTAAACTCGTTAAAATCCTTAAAAGTCAAGAGATCGTGTAGCTTAGCTAGGGAGGATGTCGCGTTATCGAAATTTGTTTGTCTTTTCTGTGAAGTATGTGTAGGATAACCGATAAACTAAGTTAATTGCAGCGTCTGTAAAGAAACAAGAGTGACGCTTTTTGAAGTAGATGAGGTGGTCATTGAACCTTTCTACTGAAGGCAGGAACGATGGGGTATTTGTAACTTTATTTTTATGAAATTCTGTTTTATCTGTTGTAGCAGTGTATTTACTGGAAATTCTTTCCATTCAAAGTTCCTTGGAACTGACTTTTTGAAGCAACATTTGGAGATATTTTAAATCGTGTATTTTATTTTCACTAGTTTAAAAAAAGAAACTTAGCATAACGTATCTTTGTTCTAAACAGGCGAGAAGTGAGAGGTATACGATCGAGAAATTAAAACCTCTTTGTTGATGTGAAATATCTGCTGATGTCGTTGTTAATATTAAACCATCCAGTTTCTGGTATATAATCTGATAATCTGTAATTTTCCCGACCAACTAGTATACATTTCATTGTGAATTTAGCCTTGCGCATGCCTCTGTTCGACTGAAAAACGCACAAATTACTACAGTTTTGAAGGCCATTAAGAGTTAGTCTTATCACGTGAGGAAGCGGTTGTCGGCGGTGTAGCGCCTGGCATGAGACCTGTTGACCTTGTGGGCAGGCTCTGATGTTTGGGTTTCCCCTTACGGCCCTTTCTCTGGGTGCAGTTGTCTATTACACCGTCGGCAGCTGCTTATGGAAGAAGTTACTGAAACCCCTTTTTGAAAGATTTCTTTGCCCGCAGACTTATTACTTATAATTATTTGTCTTAGCTCCACGCAAAGTGAATTTCGTATTAACACAGATGTAGTAATACATAGACAGGTAATAACAAGCGATATAATATCCCGACGTTTCGGCGACTTCATAACGCCATTGTCAAGGGTACAAATGAAAATAAAATTAGCAAATGCGAATTCAAGAGTTACAACTAATTTACATATGGGAGGTAGCTACACAAATACTTTAGTACGGATGGAATCCGTTTGCACGTTCAAACTCGGTGTTAATTGTTTGATGTAAAGCATCTCGTTGACAAGACAATCGAATTTGTTCATGCACTTCTTGAGAACTTTGAAACAGCTAAGAAGGTCCTCAGGGACAGCACCTGCGTGGTCGTTGTCGTAGTGCTTGCGTACTGAAGATGACGTACTCTTATAGCTATCCACGCGGGCTTATAAATGCCCGCGTGTGTAACCAACATAGCTCCCTGTATCACACAGGTTACATTTTAATTAACTACGCACTGTTGATTAACCAGCTGTGGTTTGGTCTCACATTCTTTAAGGTCTTGGCCAATTTTCCTACTGACAAATACTAGTTCCAGTTGGCTTGTTAGCTCAATTGGTAGAGCGCTGCACTAGTATCGCAGAGGTCAGTGGTTCGAATCCCGTACAGGCCTGATTTTTTTCAGGTCTGATTTTCGCTATTGCATAAATAACGCTCTCTACTGCGAGGATCGTGCATCATACGTAAGTTGATATTGTAAATAAACCGCCTTCTCGTGCACAATATGAAGTGAATCCTGTGTTCTAATTGGCTACCACNCCCACTGACGACGCAGCATTGCGGTTTCTTTACAAACTATCTTCCTTCTTTTATTTTTCCGCTTTCTCACATTTAATTAAAATTGTTTACTTTTAAGCAAACGCGAATTCTGGCTCACAATGTCCCTCAAGCTTACCGTGGTATAACAACTCATTTTCACTTTCAAAACATTTGAATTTCAACAATTTATAACACACGATGCAAAAATACGGCTTACGGCAGCCATGTTCGGTCACGTGATGATGTGCTTGCTCCTGAAGAGTCCGGAACGTACGCGTGCAGCCGGTCACCGCTAAACATGGCAGAACATCGTAGCCATAGAAAAAGTGCGCGCTAAAATCATTCGTGTCGTATTTACTCCAGCATGGATGTGTCTTACCCACGTATGTTGTTTTGTGAACCAATTTCATGTCCTCTTTTCTTCTTGTATGAGGGCAGTAGGTAAGAACGCAATTTGCGGTACAAAGATCACATTTGTCTGCATCCTGAACGCGTTCTTGAAATTGCGATTCTTCGCTAGAAAATCCTATTTTTCGTTTGTACTTCTGCGTAAGACAACCATCGAAAAACCCGCAGAAAATCTCGTCGTGCTTTCTGATTTCCTTCTTGTTGCAGAAAACCATGCGACATTTATCGCAGCTGTATTGGAATTCGTCCATGAGGGTACATTCCTTGGTATCGGTGACCTTGTAACAAGCGTTTTCTTCATTAAAAATTTCTATCAAGGATGAAAAAACGTTTTGAGCTTCAGATGAAACGAGGATTATATCTCTTCTTTCTTGAACTCGAACGTGCGGATCTTTGGCGATTAGCTTCGTCGAAAGAAATCTCCAATCTACAGCACTAAATGGCATTATAGATGTGTTCTTGGGCACATGTAGAAATCTGAACTGCGGTAGCAACTTCGCTGGAATTTCTTTACTCCGATAGAACACGTAGAAATGAAGAAAGCCCTTGGTTTGAGAAGATATTGTAATATCTTGGAGATAAAGCTGACCTTTGGTTTCCCAATCGATAAGAAAGAACTTAACGTGCATGTTTTTTTATCAACAAATTTTCTGACTGTTTATAGTCTGCCGAAGGATTTAAGTCTTTGTTATTGAGCCTTCGTGATGCCCCGTGTCAATGACCAAAGCCAATTTGTTTTACAAGCAATTATAATGCATTTCGTTTTGTTTTCTTTTGGCAAAGTCACAATAGAGGAATTTAATAAACTCATACCTTTCTCACCAAGAAAACATTTAAAACTATGCGAAAATTCCCAGGCAGATTCACATTTGAACGCACTGGGTTTTGGTTTTGTTTCGCCGAATGAATCACTATGCCCGAACAAATCGCTCAGAACTAACAACGCTAATATCACAGCGGGAAAAATCACAAATTAAAGACTGATTAAAAGCTATTTAAAACTGTTGTTACAATATTACCGCCGCAATCAAAATACTATTAAAACTAACATTACAAATCTACTAATCCCTGAAATTTAACGATCTAGTTCTGTTTGCTATTTCTTTGGTGCCCGCCTTTATTCTAATGTCATTTGAGAGTTCATTCCATCTTTTGGCTGCAAACTATCTCTATGACTTCAGTCCATATTTGGTAGTGTTAACTTTAAGTAAAGATAAAACATATTCTTGGCGCCTGAGATTGTACTTAAATGAGCGTAAGTTAATAAGATTCCTAATTGCCTGTGGTGCTTTGTTCGATATGCTGTTACGTATTGTCAGTAACATGTCTTGAATTCTTCGAGATTCCATGGAGGGCAGTCCGCTTATCCTTTCCAAGAAATGCTGATTAGAGACATGTTTATCATTATTTAATGGATAATTACTGAGGCATATGGCATTATATGAGAAATATTGCAGCCAGCTGAGGCCGTAGGCCTCAGCTGGCTGCAATATTTCTCATAATGCCATGTGCCGAAGTAATTATCTATTGTAATTATTTGATCCCCATGAAATCCTAATGTTCTGTGTCTGTGTTGGATCTTCGATTTTAGTCGCACCTATGTGTGATAAATGTGATGCTCATTGCTATTGTTCTTTCTTGTGATGAATATTTCTTAGATTTTAAGTGATCCGAGGGTTGTCATTGTAGCTCGTTGTTACAGTTGTTCAAAACAGTTCTAATGATGGAATTAATTCGTGTAAGGCGTGTACCACTGCTAATTTGCATACTTTATAAGCCAGAGAATTCAGTCATTTTACTCAGTGCGAACCTGGGTTTAGAAAGAGGATGGATTCGTCGGAAGACGAAGGATTATTTATTACACAGAGCTCTACGAAGGCAGATATTTCAGCAGAAATCGAAGATAATGTAGTGTAACGTTTGGACATTTCTGTCAGTGCTTTAATTCTTTATCGACTTCTAAAGGCGGCGTTTCCATTTTCTTTTTTT